GGTGGGTGTGTTGCCCCGCCCTCGCCCCCACCGCCTGCCCTGTCCCCAGGCCGGCCGGCTCCCGGCTCTGTTTTGGAGGCAGCAGCTCTTCCCCAGACCCCTGAGCTGGGCAAATCCTCCTGAACATGACCATGGTGATGCATCCTTCCAAGTGAAAATGGAGCTGAATCAGGCAAAGCTGCGGAATTAAATCTGTCTGGAATGAGCTGTTAGAGACTGAAACCTTCTGAACACCAAGGGGAGATGGAGAAAACCCTCCGAAAGCTCCTGAAGATGCTGCTGCTGAAGTGTGATGGGCAAGGGTGACCCCAAGCAGAGGGAAAGATGTCCCCAAAGCCCCACGCAGCAGCAACCGAGGCGCAGGGATGTGGCGGAGGGCACAGAGTCCGTCTGTGGCAGAGGAGATGGGTTTCAGCCACCAGCCAGCACCGGGGCCACCCCCACGGCCCCCTTGGCGTGAGCACCTGGGATGGGGACGGGGTGGCCGCCACCGTCGGCTTCAAACTGCAGCTCTGAGCTGCACGGACATCCATCTGTCTACCTTTAACAAGCTTTCTCCCTTTAAAATAATCATTACCAATAAACAAATCTACCACACCAAATTAAGTAGCTACATTTGTTATATCTGATCTAGCCTTGTTAACTGGAAATTCCTAGGTTTGGAATATGTATTGATTTCAGCAAACATATATTATTTTACTGTAAGTACCAACAGCCATTGTCGTTAATATACAACAGTTTAATTTAAAATGCATTAGTTTAATACAAATGCATAAAATAGCAGGGAATTGCATTAGCTTCAATAAAGAATTCAATTTCATAAATATTATCCAGTGTTAAAATGCATTGATTTCCTGGGAAAACTATTGGTCAAAGGTAATTTACACTGGTTTGAATGGGAATGTACCGGCGCGTGTACATATGTATCAGCTTAGTCAAATATGTCTGATGGCAGAAAAAAATATCGGTTGGAGCAAAATCTGGTCGTAAGGAACCCAGCGTGGGGCGAGCGGCTGCCCGGGCCGGCTCCGGAGCATCCCCGCACGCCAACGCGGCCACGCTCGGCCAGCCCTG